CACATTAAACGCCTAGTCATAGTAGTGTAATCGTTCCGGCGTACTAAAGTATGAAGCTTTTATACCGAACACATGTATTTCAATGAAGCTCTGTATATTACGATTCATAATCATGTTTTCGCCTAATCATAAAAACTTTATAAATCGAAGCGCCCAACATTGTAAGGCGCTTGCCGTTTTGATATCGGCATTTGTTTACTTTTTTGTGCTCGAAATAAAAATTATTTGTCATTTCAGTAGATAATAATTGAAAATTAATGATTCTGTGCTAAAACTCCTGCCAATTGTATTAAGCCATAAACGTGTATGCAATATTTTATTGCAGAAATGTTCGCGAAAGTGTATTAGTGAGAAAGACCGGCCAGAAAATGTGTAATGTGCGCGCAAGCAGGGCTTACGCAGGGCGCGCAAGTGTGCAGAGGTCGAGTCCGTCATGCATTCGTTTTGACATGACAAAACGATTACTCTACTATGATTAGGCGCGTAATGTGCGGAGTGCCTAAGTCTTATTGTAGTAATGTTTCTGAAATAAATGAGAAATGAAATAAAAAACTCCATTTTTTGAGGTATTTTCAAATCGGTCCAGCTCACTTAAATCTTAATATTTTACCGAAATATTTTGGTGGACGTCTTAAAATATAATAAATTTTATAATTCTATAATAATTTTATAATTTTCTTGGTTCCTGTTGCTTTGCTTTCAATATCATACATGCCGAAGACAAAGCACAGCATAATCAAATTAAATAAAAAAATTAGAGCATTTTCAAACCCTGCTTAATTTCAAAAACTGAATTTTTTCCGAATTAACCAATCTTTTAAAGGTTAAACACGATTTTTTAACTGCACACCATCATGAAATTGGGGGTACTATCGAACGTAACCACAGAGTGTTTAACGAATATTTTTACGCGCATATTTTTGAATGAAACATTTTCCGATTAGGACGTTTACTTAAAATATTTTACATCTTTGCACAACACAACAACTAACAACAGTTTTCGATAATAAATTTTCCCCTTTTTGAATTGATATTTGGGAAAAAGGCCACAGTGCTTCAAGATTAAAAAAAAGATAAAATTTGCCCTATTTATAACGTAGAAAATTACGCGAAAGAAGTTAAATATCGAATGCAAAAGTCGCACAAAATTGCGAAATAATTAGTAACCAAACACAAAATTCGAAATAAAATAATATAAGATAAAACGGCGCATTCTTGTTCAAAAAGAACCACGCAATAAACATGAAAACATATACCAGGTGACATACGTTATAAAACAAATTGACGGTGTAGTGTAAACGTCACAATTTTTGATGAAGCAAGAAACAAAGAAAAAACAGTACACAAAAATAGAATTCATAAAATAAAATAAAACAAATTTTCCTTTATATGTATATTAGAGTGGTCCAAAAAAATAAAGTTGGAATTTTAATGCCGGCGTCCCCTAGGATTGTTCTCTACCGAAAAAATATACCACTATTTTTCATTTTGAAATCAAAAAATATTTAGGGAGTGCTCAAAGCGCTCAAAGTTTTCCATGTATTTTTAACCGACTCCCGAAAATGGAATATATATTTTTTTTTTGTATGTATGTTACCGCATAGCTTTGGACCACGTCAACCGATTTCGATTTTTGCATCGGAAAGCTAGTGTCTCAGAGGTGGTCCCATACTAATATGGTTTAGATACGATCATTGGATCATGATATATATATATATATATTTTTTTTTTTTTTAAATTTTTTTTTTTGCTAAAAATTACTTGTATTTATATGGAGAAGAAACAATTTTTCATACAAATTGTATAAAATTCTTGAAAATCTATATATCTCGATCGGAAAACTGTGGTGCTCTTCAGGAGACTTTCAGTATTAATGCCCAGTTGTTTATTTAACCATTTTTTAATATTAAAGATTTTTTATTGGTCACCCATTGCATTTTATGGGGGTGTTGGCGGACCTATAACATATAGTTACCGTGAAAAAATGGTTAAAGAAACCACTGGGTATTATTTTTGGGAATCTCCTGAATAGGAACCGAGTTTTCCGATCTAAAAATATTGATTTTCAAGAATTCTACACCATTTCTACGAAAAGTTGTTTTTTCCCTCACTCGGCATGAAACGAAATGGAATTTATCCACTTCACAGTAGTCGTAAAGTAGTGATTTGATTTTGTATAAAAATATGCTAAAAGGGGCTTTTTGGTATGAGGAATCAATTTCGGCACTTATCTTCTTAAAACTTCCACAGGAGGGCCCAACAGTGAAAATTTTGACATTTTCTTCGAAACCTATTTCCGCAATTTGGCAAACTTCAGCAAACTTGGTTTCTTCAGCAAATTTGCTTAGAATTACACATGGAATCTTCCTATGCTATACGCGCATAATAAAAAAATTGCCCCGCCCTAGTATGTATGTAATAAAATATTTAAGATTTTTAAGTCTTTTATTAGTCTATAAAAGATACAATACTTTCACACGTCCATACGTACATACATATATTACTAATGTAAAAGAAAAACACACACACACGTAATTCGCTGTTACATAAGGTACGTCAAAAAACAATGAGCTTTCTCCGGAACTATCTTCCACCGGTAATGGTTTTGAGGGGCTTTGTTTTCTCCTGAAAAGTATTTATTATTAAAATATATTTAATAAATAAAGTTATTACAAAAATTGATTTACATAAGGTGAGAGGTTGTCAGCTTTCAAAGAAATCTTTATTGGAAGTTCACAGGCAATTTTTTGATAACCTAACTTTGGAAATACGAAATCTTCCCATCGTTTAAATAAGGCCATTTTATTAAAAGTATAATAAATATTCATATGAACTGACGAACTTTGCATCCTCAGTAGATACCCCGTCACAAAATACTGTCCCACCCACCACAAGCTAAAGGAGATTTTTTTTTAATTTTCTAATATGATAATGCCAGTAAAGCATAAATGGGCCTTAACATTATATTAGCTACATACGAGAAGGCGCTTTGAACGAAATATTTATAGTTTGTCTGAAATTGGGTAACGAATCCATCAACTCAGTGTGGCGAGTGTCATCGTTGTCCCACCCGCCACTTTTGGAAAATGTCAATTTTCTGTGTAAATCATACAATTAAGTTTTTTATACTTTATTAGTTTCGTAATAATCTGAGCAAAAACGAGTTAAAATGTCCCTGTTTTCATAAATTTGTCCATTTTCTGCACTCCCTCCTAAAGCCATTGATTTCGCAGCTAAATTACACCATTCACTGATGCTAGCACCTAGCAAATTTGGCACGTGTTGAAAAGAAAGAGGAATCAATTAGAAAATGGAATGCAAAAATTAGAGCCAATGTCGTATTCACAATTGTCTAATTCACGATATTCCACAAAATCATCAGAAAGTTAATGATGGTAAAATCATCCAAATTGTAAAATGAGCAAAATTGTAAAATGTGGTAGATTTTAAGCTTACGGTGGTAGATGTGGTGGAAACGCAAAAAAAAATTGGTAGATCTACCAGAAAAGTGGTATAGTCCGCACACTGTCTGTTAAGAGTCTAATCGGCTTATGGGGAAAGAATCGGCCGATGCCGAAGCCGATTCCATAAAAAATTACAAATAAATGTATTAATTCATAAAATCAGTTAATTTAACAGAGTTAACAAAACAAAAGAAAACAAATAATTGAATTAACTGGCTTGTTATGCAACATTACATACACATGTACAAATGTACATACCAGGGATTATGCGAATATTTGCATTCGCATTCGTTATGTGAATGATTCGCATCATTTTACACATTAGCTTCGACATTCGCATTCCCATCAAATGATACGAATGTTTTGCGAATGCGAATATGTAATGTTTAGTTTTTTACAGGCAAAACAACCCTTGTACGCTGCTGCATTTTGTAGAAAATAGAAATATGAAGATCTAACTGGGCGCCCTCAAATGTGTTCGCATTTTTTGTTAACGTTTGATGACCTGTAATGACTATTCATATTTTACGATAACTTAAGTTGATTATAGCTTTTTAATGTTATTCCCAAGATTCGCATTAACATTCGCACATTCGCATTCCGAAAATTCGCATTCGCGAATGTGAAAAATATGACAAACAACCCTAGTACATACATTAAAATATATGTACATATATCACATTTATGTACCTGTAAAACACTTTTTTGTATGGTGCTAAGCAAGAAATATTATACGCTCTTTTGCACTCAATGCATAAGAACTTATATGCTACTAGGTAAGTGTGTACATACCAGGGTTGTTGCGAATATTAGCATTCGCAACCGCGGAGCTTCCGCATTAATTTCAACATTCGCATTCGCTTTCGCATTCGCAATAATCAATGCGGAGCTTTTGCGAATGCGAATATTGTGGAAGTGCACTGATAAAACGTATATCTGGCAAACAAAATGACAAATTGTAGCCAGTATTTTTTGGCTGTGGAGATGCTACGTTGAAACTGTCCCCTTTCTTTTGTAATTTAAATTCAAAGAGGCATTTCCAGCGGAAATGTTCAACGTCTAGCTATGAAGAGAATGGACTATTTGCGCGTTAAAAGACAACCTGTAATTAGGTAAGAATTACCTATTATTGTAATGTATTAATGTAACTATCGAATATTATTTGCCAAAGGTCTGTTGAAAAAACTGGATGAATCGCTAGCGGTGAGTAATTAATTGTGACTGCCTGCAACTAGGAAAAGTCGAACTCAGCTAATTATAAAATGAATTACAAGCTATTCATTACAGGTGAATCTTTTCAAGAAGTCACCCGGGATCTAAGCAGATCTGAGACCTTCATTGTCCGTGATTCCAATAATTCGAATTATTATAAAAATGGGTGCCTTTTTAACAATATAACAAGATTGTAAACTAATTCGGCTCGCAGCCACGACTTTCAAAACAGAAATTTTCATTCCTAGAAAATAACAATTTATTTACCACATCGACCTATTTGAAACCTCGCTATAAGCAGAAATTTTTCAAAACAATCCCAGAAGAAAGTATTAAAAACGAATTACAAAAACTTAAATCGAAAACCGTTAATGGCGTTACAAATTCTGAACAACCAAAAGAATGAGAATGAAGAAATTTTTGGAAAAGATTGTGAAGATAAGTCAGGAGGATACATCCGACATTTGTAGCCTCGATGCAATTCTCAAAAAGAAATTATTGTACCACAATAAAAAAATAAATATAACTGATGGTCTTCTCAACTGGTGCAGCGTCAATCGAAAATAATTTAAAATTTTGTCAAGTTTTAAGTTATTCAAGTTGGTCGCCTTACTACCCTTTAAGAAACAGGCTGGAACCCGAAAAGGCAGCAACATTACTTTTTATTAAATGCAATGTTCCAACTTTTAAATTCAAGTACTAAATAAACAAAAAAAACATTAAAAATTATCAACTTTTCATTTTTTATTTACCTAAATCACCTATTTAATTTACTCACCCAAGTTATTTCTTTAAAATACTTGACATCCGCATTCGCTTTAAACATCCACATCCGCATTCGCATCCGCGGATGTCTAAAATTCCACATTCGCAACATCCCTAGTACATACATATAGTGGTCCATAAAATAAAAGAATTGCGATATTTTGACCGGTTTTGGCATTTTTCTTTTGTTTATTTAATGTTTATTATCTTTTTTTATAAAAGTCTAGCTGGTATACAACAAACACCATATAAATTCAGACTTCAAACTTTGTACAAAAATTAGAAAAATTCTGCTTATTTTCACCAAAATTTCAAATTTTTTAATCAGAATTTGGGTATGCAGTTTTGTAGATCATTTAATTCTAGTACAATGAAGTGCATCTTTCAAGCTGCTATAGCATCCCGTTAATTTTTGGCATTTTTTTCTGGCAGTGTCCTCCATATAAAAACGTGAAACACCTTCAACCAAAAATATTAATTTTTGTGAGCTGTCTGCAAATGTTTTTTGATGTTGGTTGTTGTCTGTCGCTTCACCGGAGCATATGAAAAGAAATTCCAAATAATCCGCGAAAAAGGCCGATGCCGATGCTCAATTTTGTGCCGATACCAGCCGATGCCGATTAATCGGTCGGACTCTACTGCATGTACATTAGAGCCGTCCAATTTTTGTATGGGGGAAAAAATGTCATCCTAGAAAAAGGGGCACCCCCTTAGTGTTCCCTTTTGATATTTGTAATATCTATACCAACTTTCGATTTTCTACTGAAACCAATATGGGGTGCTCAATGACCTTGAAATGCGCTACAGGATCGCTGTGAAACTCACAAAAATATTAGTGATTTTTATAAAAAGCTACTGTTGCTATGACAACTGAAGTTTGTGATATTTTTTTAGATAATTTAAATTTGATAAGTTCTTAGGTTGCTTAACCAATTGTTTGATTAATAAATGTACACACTACACTCTTAAGAAACTAAGGCAGAAAATTCTTGCTCATGAAAAGTTAAAATTAGGCGTATAGTTTTATGCAATTGATTTAAAACAAGTAATTTTTAAGCAAAAAACAAAACCGACTTCAAATCTCATATAAAAATTTAAAGTTATCGTTAATTTCTTCATGATCCAATGATCGAATTTGATCGAATTTAGTACGGGACCACCTGTGAGGTAACACCTTTCCTTTAAAACAACAATTATTGAAATCGGTTAACGTGGTCCAAAGTTATGCGGTAATATACATAAAAAAATATGCCGACGAATTGATAACCTTCTACTTTTGTGAAGTCGGTTAAAAATTAGTGATATTTATGTGATATTTGTGAAAATTTATAACTGGCACAAAAACATAATAGTGCAATCATGGGTGCACCATGTCACATTTAAGTAATTCAATTAATGTACCTAATAAATAGACATGGAGTTTTATGCAATAGAAATAAGACATGAATATGTGCATACAATTAAACAAAAACTAAAAAATATTCATAAAAACTAACCAATAAATGATTTAGATATTAGGTGCATTCTTTTGCAACCGAGCTACAAAAGAACACTCGCTTACATGATGAAATACGCGCAAAGCAACAACACAAACTCGGCTATTTATCCGAGCTCAGCCAGATCGGTTAAAAAATACGCGACCTGAAGGGTAGTGTTGGTAAGTGAAAAAACTGCTCTATTGTGAATTGTTAATGGAAAAGTGGAGAGGGACATTTTTGTTTCCTTATATACGTGACTTATATTTTAAATAAGTATATATATTACGCAAATACCTCGTATAATTACTCATTTAAATTGGTTTTTGTATCTAAATCCCGTTAAACTAATCACATGCTTCTTAATAGCTACCAACAGGGTTGCTTAAGTAGCTAAAAGGTTGAGCGTTCTTTTGTCGCTCGCTTACAAAAAAATGCAGCTATTAAAAAATTAAGCAGCCTCACAAAAAAAGTGTCGGGTTCCGGGGATCAGACTAGCTTTCCTAATGTATTGATGCGCTGAACACGAATCAGAAGTTTGTTTTGTTCCATCATGTCAGAACTGCTAAAAATACAAAAAGTATGTCAGTTCTCACATTGACCCGGAAATTCTTATTCGGACCAATAGTGATATTGACAGGACAGCTGAAAATCTAACTGATATAACAGTTAAAGCTGCAGAAATTGCAACACCAAATCATTCTATTAAATATCGCAGTTCTTACTGCCCTAGCCTGCACACACCGAACATTATTAACTTTATAAGTAAAAAGCACAAATCAAGAAGGAAATGGAAAAGAATTCGCTCTTCTAAGCTTAAGAAGGATCCGGATGCGTGTACATGGGAATTACGTATTTTGTTGCAGGCGACCCTTTAGTTCTTGTCTATTCTAAACAGACTGACTACTCCCTTTGGCGAACACTGAATCATGCGACGAGGCCCGTTCTTTGAGAAGCACCAACGAGAGGCTAACGAGGGCAAGTGTATTCAGACAACATTTACTTTGAAGAAAGAGACTTGTTCACCACTAAAAATAAACAGCAAGGCTATACCACTGCAATAACTTGGTTGGGGATTTGCCGGAAGGAATGTGGTGGAACAATGCTGATAAGTATTTTCCCCAAGTATACGCCTTCTGAGGATTGACTTTTACCAAACCTGATACAAGAAAAAAAGGCTTTTTACTGTCAGCCTTTTTTTATAGTTGGGCTCAGTCTATTTCCCTTTATTAGATTATGGGTGAATATCGACTAACTGAATGTCGCCAGCTTTTAGTCCAATTTAATTACTCGGTTATGATTATTTCCATTCTTTCGAGGGCTAATGTGTGTGGTTCGCTCCGGGTCCAATTCGGAAAAGCAAAATTATTTCCTAGCCTCGTGGTATGTGACCACCGATTCTTTGATCGTGTGTGTGGGCGTTTTCATAGAGGCCTATCAATTCGTGTCTATACAGATTGTCTTGGATAAACATTGGTTACATACATTCATCTGGCAATCCCCCCATTTTGCAGTTTAGCTTTGACAGTTTGGTAATGATTACATTTTTCACGATTGTTCTGTTGTCTATTATTTGGCCAATCAAAATAATGGATCATTATCCCCCTCCCATCTTCAGCGATACGTCAACAAAAAATTTGGAGCGTTTAGTAAGGATATGAGAATGGTGGTTCGAATGCGATTCACGAGCTGTGGTTTAATGGACGTTAGATCCCTAACATCGAAATCGTTTTACATGATCTTCATCAACTCCACCCTGGGTCATTCAGTTCGCCTATGAGCGCATATGTATGTAAACATGTTGTTTGTACTAGCTTCAGTATGCATTAAATAAGCTAATATAGATGAAAGGACATTGATAAACGATTTGGTTATGAATCTTTTCTTGTTTTACTTTAATCGAGTTACTAGCAATGTACCGAGAAGGATGAAATTCTTCAGCCTTGGATATAATGATATGCCAATGTTTTTGATTGGGAGGTTTGAGTATAATTTCTCGATAAGGTCGCAATAACAAAACTAAACTAAATTATTTCATTTATTGGTTCATTTCACTTATTACAAAATCAATTATCATTTTAATCTTTTAACATTTTTTGGGTGTCCCTTGAAACCTTTTCGGTATCAGCCATTGGTTAGGAATATCTACGTGGTGCTTAAATATCAATGGTCGAGAACTTTTCTACCTCAAGCAACCGACAAAAGACCGAATCGGCTGCCTACAAGTATTGAGAACCTGGGGCCAATGGGGGTTGTTGAGCTTTTCGATCAACTTCAGGCGCGAATATGGGAAACGCATCCTTGTGATCCCAATTGATTGCTAGGCGCATAAGGCGCTGTACTTGTTGACCAACCATCACATAAGAAGGGAGTACCATGGTTCTGAAATAGCATTTGAGAATGGATTTGAAGAAAGGAATGTGATCGAAAAGCAGGTGTGGATTTTTATTGTTACCACTGCAAAACAACCAACCCTGTTACTTTGTATACCGTTTAAGTTTTCCCCTTTTTAGCATTTGGGCGCGTAAACGTTTAGATGATCGTGAAAAGCCAAAGGATAAAAGTAGATTCACTATTACAGTTACACTGTTTTACTGATTCACTGATTGACTAGAGCAAGGACAAAGTTATCGATACGCGGTTTACCCGTATGTTGCGAATGGATTGCGCTAAGGGTGTATTTGGAAACTAATGTAATATCACATTTGTTTTTGTCTAACTTATTTTCCTGAAGATGGCACTTTCTGTTTGACTAGAGTAACGACAAAGTTATCGATACGCGGTTTATCCGTATGTTGCGAATCGATTGCGCCAAGGGTGTATTTGGAAACTAATGTAATATCACATTTGTTTTTGTCTAACTTAAGAAGACGGGTATCTTGTAATAAATGCATCATCAATTAATTATGGAGGTCCGCCATATATTCATCGAAATTCTTGAGAAGGCGAATGTAACAGAATAAGTTAACGTGTTGTGATTAGGTCGGCGGAATAATTGCCAAACACTCGGTGTTTAGCATCGATCAGTTTATACGAATTCGAACATAGTTTCCGTGAAACATAGGCTCTTATTTTTGGTGGGACTAATTTTTGTGCATAGCCCTCTCCGGCCACAGACTATTTAGGATTGGGAATGTATCCTTCCGAGCCAATCTCAAAATGGCGTGTTCTTTTGCGGGTCAATGCCCGTTGTGCTGTTTGATGATATTATTCGAACTATTTGTCCCGAATTTCATCAGCCAGAGTCTTACGTTGTTCCACATCCTTTGTATGGTTTGGATTTACATCCAATAATAATTTATATTCGTTTTCATCTTTCCCATATTCACGACCGGTGTGTAAGAAATATGGCGTGTAGCCCGTAGCTGAATGCACTGAAGTGTTAATATCATGATTAACACGAGAAAGATGATTTTCCAGGGGAAACGTTCAAGAATATCAGCCATGTGAGCGCGTAATCCAAGTTTAATTCTTTTGTTTGTCGCCTCCACCTGATTGGCTTGTGGATGTGTTTGATGTTATAATCGGCGCAAAGCTTTGCGAAGGTTTGACTGATGAATTGAGTCCCATTATCTGATTTAATGAGTGCGGGGCAGCCATTCACAGTGAATATATGGCGAAGAGAATTGCATTTTTCATGGGCTGCACCCAGACATACCGCGAGTAACAGTCGGTGGCTTCGAAGATGCATTGGTTACGGTTTTTAGAAATGGGAAGCTTACCGACGAAGTCGATCGATAATTGACGACCCGGTCGTTTTGGTTCTCTATATTCGCCGTTAGGTGTTTTGGTGCTATCATTACCTGGTTTAATGCGGTGGCATAGTTCACATTACCGAACGTAATATAAACGGCATCATACATATTTGGCCAGTAATTGCGCTATGCGATACGTCTATAAGTTTTCCAAACACCCTGATGAGAATGTTGGTTGTCGTTTTCATGGAGAACTTTCGCTCTGTCAGAAAATGGTACACAGTATTTCCGCGAATGGAAAATTTTAATCGATGATATGAGAAGTTGTATATATATCTAATGGTTGTTTTGAGGCCATGGCATGCATTTTGTTGTACTAACTATTTATCGAAAGTGTTTGGCTCAATATTGATCACGGATGTGATTGGGGAAGATTAACGTGGAAATTACTCGGAAGGTCAATTGGATTTCTGCGAACGATGTTGAGAAGAGCAAAAGAACGAATGGAAAATTTCAATCGATTATATATAAGTTTTATATCTATCTAATGGTTATTTTGAGGCCATGGCATGCATTTTGTTGTACCATTTATCGAAAGTGTTTGGCTCAATATTGATCACGGATGTGATTGGGGGAAAATTAACGTGGAAATTACTCGGAAGGTCAATTGGATTTCTGCGAACGATGTTGAGAAAAGCAAAAGAACGAGATAAGGCGTCGAGAAAAATCGGCCATAGTCGGAACGGGAGTGGTGGTTAGACACCCTTTGAGTTTGAGAAAGGCTTGTTCAGCAGTGGTATTTCATTCAATGGGTCCTTTCGGTTTCTTTTATACAATTCACAAAGGAGAATTGTGATCTCCGCAAGATTTGCAATAAATTTACGGTATCAGCCTGCTGCACCAACGGACCGTCCGACTTCTTTTGCCGTTTTGGACCATGCAAATTGAAGAATAGCTCGAATCCGAGATGGATTCGCAGATAGACCCTCGTGAGACAAAACGTAACCCAGGAATTCCAATCGTTTACAACAAAAATTCGATTTGGATGTTGAGATGGTTAAGCCGGCCCCAGCCAAACGTTTTGCAACAATATCCAATATCTTAGCGTATTCTTCAAACGTCGAAGTTTAAATCAAAAATCAACCCGGTATGCGAGTGCATGTGGAACCAAATCACGGAAAATTTTATCAATGAGAAGGGCTAATCTGGCGGGTGAATTTCTCAACACCATCGTCATGCGACGAAAAGCGTAAAGTTTGTTACCGAATGCAAAAGCGGGTTTCAGTTGACTCGATTTTGCCAAGGGAATTTGAAAGAAAGCTTGAGACAGATCAATACTGGTTAGGTATTTTGCTGACTTTAGTCGTGTTAAAATTTGGTTAATATCCATAGTTGAATAGGTAGTTGTAACGGCGATTTTATTCAATTCTCGAGCGTTCAAACACACGCGACACGTTCCGTCTTTCTTTTTTACAGCCAGAATTGGTGACCGCCAAGGACTTTCTTCGATGGTCATAATGATGTCACGACTACGCATTTTATCCAATTCGGCTTGAACTTGTTTAGTCACATATGGCGATACTGGATACTGGCGTTTCATGACGAGTTTTGCATCACCCGTATCAATTACTTGTCCCATCTGATTAGTGACATTTAAAGGACCAGACTCAGGAGTTAGATTAAGAAGTTTGAGAACGGCGTCCAACATTTGTCTTTGATTTGGATTATGTAGAAAGACTGACGCTGGTTATTTTTGGTGTATCTATATCACCATCTAAACCGAGTGTGGAAGCGTCAATTGGCTCCAGATAATTACTCATAGAAGATACCTGAGCTTGTATCTTTCTCATTCCATGGTGGCTGGTTACAAAAATTAATAAATTCATCCGCCACAACCATGTAAACTTTAGCCGGTGCAACTTCTTCGGTATCACCTTTGGCTGTATGTTTAAAAATCGCTGCACTTTCTCCTTGTTCTGCACCAGTTCGAAAGAGAAGGCCTCAAGGGATGTCCGTCCCATAATTGGGTACGACCAGAGTTGGCACAAGTCGAGAAAGACTACCGACCGTATATAATAAATCCACTATACCAATGGCCTTAAAAGAGATCGAATTATCGGCAAGACCAATGGATGTTTTGGTAGGTTGCAACTGCCCCCATTTGTACTTCTCATAAAACGTTTGGGAAATGACTGTGACTTCGGCTCCACCATCGAGTAAAACCGTATGAGAATGGTTGTTAGCCATAACCGTGAGATAATCGCGACAATCGTTCGGAATATTATATGTCAAACATTTCTTTGAGATAAAAAAAAAAACATCGCGGGGTCGTGGTTGGTTAATTTTTTTGACTCGGTCTTGAGTGTGATTAGGGACTGGAGCTGAAGCAGGTTTGGTAATTGGTAAAGTCCGTTCAGAACATCAACCAGATGCCATCCATTTGAGTTTGATTATATTCGTTAAGAATCAGAGTAGAATTATTACTGGAATTAGGGACTGAAGATGTGTCCATTTTTAAAGGGACTTCGGTAGAAAAAGGATTGTAAGAGACCGTGGATTTAGAAAAGGTTATGGGTTCTGAGTACGACGGACCATCATTCCCAATCGCCTCACTTATGCGTTTTTTGAACACGGACATTGATCAGACATCACTCCCGGTCGTGTACATTTGTAGCATATCACACTTTTGGAAGTGATGACCCCACACGAGACATTTTGCATATCGTACATTTTCGTCACCCTTAACAGCGAGAAATTTGTCGACGATGGTTCCTACTTTCGTATCATTCTTATTTCGATTTTTGTCATTTTTATAATCATCGACTGGTTTCGAATACGTACGGTTCTGAGATGGTTTAACTGGTTTCTTTTGCTTGCTCACTTATGCACATTCCCTGTCATCTGAGTCGGATCCAGGAAACGAAGCGGTATATTCTGAATGTGGAAAATCATCCGGTGAATCATGTAGTGCCGAAATTTCCCGTGGTTCTGATCGCTGTCTATCCGAACGGGTTCTTTCCGGACGGGTGTGGCAATAATGAGCGAATGTGGTGCAATTCGCTGAGCGAACTCACGCAATTGTTCTAATGTGTGGACTTGTCGAGTGTGGCCGAGTTCACGAAGATGATCGGAGGTACCAATGATGATATCGAGGCGATCCCTTTCAAAGGAATTTCCCTGTCATTGGAATTTCAGGTCATCGATGTGTTTCAGCAGTGTTTGCGACCGTGGATCGAATTTAATCTGTGCATATGACATTATTACTTGAGCCCGAGTATGTTTGTTGAGGAAGCGAGCACGAAGTTTTGTGCAAAAATCTTTATAATCTCCGAAGTTTCTCAGTTCGGTGAAAAACCATTGTCGAGCGGCCCCCGTGCGTGTGGGTACCAAACGCATAACCAATTCATGGTCGGGTACCCCAATCTTATATCGAAATGAGCCAATAATATACAACCGATAGAAATTTTTCGTTTACATGAACGCCATGGAATTGAGAACGTTCCATACAAGATGATAAGCCTCTAAATTTCCTATCCATTCCATCCGCTTGGGCAGATTCGTCGAATATAGTGTCTTGATTTGGTCGTGATCGTGGTGGGCCGGATAGTGAATGATTCGGATTTAAATGAGATGGTGGATTAATTGGTTCTTGGGTATGAGACGTTCTAACACCCCGGTAGGTTTTGATCGTTTGAGTTTTTAAGGGCGAAGGACCAACCAAAGAAACATGAGGAGGATTCGCCGATGGTGGTATCCAGGTATGATTCAAGGTCGGTGGCATGGTTTGGTACATGTCACGAACGTCATGTATTGGTGTCTGCAAATGAATCCGATCACGAATCATTTGCTGTTGCATCTGTGTTTGTGTTCTCAAGAAACTCAGCCACCATTAGAGACAGTTGGTGTAATGAGGGTGTTGGTTCCGTTTCGCCTGACAATGAATTGGGAATTGGGTTGCCTGAACCTAAGTCGGTATATTTATTTATTTATTCTGGTTTGGAATCGAATCCGGTATAGTTAAGGGTAAATAATGTGATGGAACAGTATTTTGAGTTAAACTCACCGTTCCCCGTTCATTCTCAGAATCATGGAAAGTCGAGTTTAAACTTAATTGGGGATCGCAAGTCGGGATTACCGTATTCGGTGAACACATCCGAAGCTCACGAATCTTGATTGAAATTTTCCGACCAGATCTTCTTGGCATGGAGCCGATTCGGGTTTTAACTTTAACCGAGCGGTTCGATAATAATGATGTATCATTTGATGAAGGCGACCCTGAGGTGTTAACACCTCATTTGCATTCAATTCTCGATATGCTCTCTCACATATTTCCAACTCATTCATTTGGTGTATGGCATGGGATTTTATCAACCATGGTTGGCCAAGGTAAGCAGATATTTTAGCACTGAGAGCGGCTATTTCGGTGTCGGTCCACTGAACTGGTGCTGGATATAGGTTATATATCTCATCTTCGATCTGTCGCTGTTCCTCTGTCAAATAGGTTGCATCGAGAATGCGAAACAATTCCATGTTGAAAGACTCAAATACAAAATTGTAAACTCAAATTATAAAAAATTCTACCACACTGAGGCAAAAACCGCGTTGTAAAAATGAAATTTTTTTATTTGATTACCGTTTAAAAATGTTCGTATTTAAATCAAGTGAAAAGTGTTCAAAATTAAATATTTTCGTGTGTTTAATTTGGGCCAAGTTCCTATCTAGTTGTTTGCTGGGTTAGAGCTGTTTCGGCCGTTGAGTTAAAAGCGAAATAAAATTTCCTTTGTACTCCTACGCGTTTCGACGCATTTCGCGCCTTCCTCAGGGAGTCTGTTTTTTATTAGAACGACAAACAATATTTTCATTATACATACACTACGTATAATGGAAATATTCAATTCAAATACGCCCGTATTAAAATGAAGCATTTTTCACTGCACGGATGGCGTTTTGCACGTCTCGGATGCTTTTTCATATGTAATTAAGAAAGTATATGTATACAAAGCATCCCTGAAGGAAAGATTGGTCCAATTGCTCGAAAAATATAGTCGTAGGTATAGTAGAGTATCTAGAGCAAAGATAGTCCAAAAATATAAAGCAATGTAATAAAAAACAATTGTATTGAATTGTACTAAAAGTGGTCCGAATGTAAGGCATAAGGTATGAGTTTTGATCTAAAACTGGTTACAATGTCATACAGTAGCGGACAACGGGTACAATTAACGACTTGCTGATATGTGGGCACTTAGTCAACAAATTTTCATGTGCGACATTGGCATGCAGAGAGTATCCGCTTAGAAAATCGGAGAACCCCGCTTCGAATCGCAGCTGGCGCAAATTTTATTTTTGTTTGAAAACACATTTACATGTATGGCTGTAGCTGAGTGTGCAAAGACACTTGATACAATGGGTTGCTGCAAAGAGGGTCCGGGTTCAATTACCATCACACGGAACATAAAATTATTTTTTTTCTTCTTAATTACGAAAAAGCATCTGTGCACTTCACAACGACATATTTTATAATGTACATACTCAAATTTAAAACGAGTTGAGTTTGTGCCCTTTCGTATGCGTATTTCTTTAAATTTAGCACGTTTTTTTTTTATTCTATAATTTTTACCCCTCAGCGCAACGGAAGATGTAAAGTCCGTACTATTAACTTGATATGATGTTTCAAATTTTATTGGGAATGAATACACAAAAAACATTACCAAAAAAATAAGGAAAAATTAAAAGTTTGGTTCAATTAATACTGACCGTGTTACGTTACGTTGCTTAAACTTATACCGAAAGGCGAAAAGAAAAAATGATCGGTTCAAAAATCTTGACCGTCGATATGTGGGGTTACTTGATTAAAAAAGAATTGGCGAACTGAACCGAACGAGAATGGTTATGACGGCTGATCAATGTGTTCGCATCGCAAATCGATCACGATTTTTTTTTTTTGTTTTGTTAAAATACAGATAAAATTTTATTTATTTAACTAATATTCAAACTACTAACTACTAAAGTATTGAAGTAAAGAAATAAATTACTAGAGTTCACTCTTTGATGCGAAACTGTGTGCGTTTGAGCGAAAGTGCGAAAATCGGCAGTTTTTTACAACAAACATATGGCCCCGTTATGGCGTCGTTTCGTACAAACGCACAGCAAAGCAACAAAACAAACGCTAACTTTTGCCTTTCGCATCAAAGAGTGAACTGGCTTATTGTTTTGTTTTGCTTAATATTGCCCCACTGGATTTTTATATGCGGTTTTTTTTAATTTTTATATGGAGTATCTAAATTTATGCAGTTTTTGAACTTTTTATTGCGGCATATTATACGCATATACCGCATAAAAAAAGACCTAAGTGTAATAAAATGTTCACGGAAACAAATTTATGTGCGATAAGCGTTTCGTTTGCGATGAAAGTGACAAATCGTCTGTCAGTCAACGGTGAGTTAATTTGGGGTAGTTCACTTTGTACAACAATTTTTTGTGTCCTTGATTGAAATATGAAAAACAAACACTTTTATATTTGCCAATAAATGTTACATTGATGTCATAACTAACTAATTAACCGAAATTAAAATTTCCGTGTGTATACCAACTTAACACTTTGTATATCGACTGCTGAGTGGAAGATCGACCTATCTCGGCAGCCAGTTCAAAAACGCCCTATCTCAAAAACTTTTTAGGAACGCCCTATTTTAAAATTTTATTGAAAAACACCCCATCTCAGAATTTCGTGGAAGAACGCCCTATCTCAGAACTCGGTTTAAAAACGTCCTATCTCACTTCAAAATGTATTGAAAATTTGCTGAGATAGGGCGTTTTTGAGTCGGCAGCTAAGATAGGACGTTTTTGAATCGAATTCTGAAATAGGGCATTTTTGAAAGGTTTTTTGAGATAGGGCGCTTTAAGCACGCATATTATTGACTTTAATATGCAACAAATTGTAAATGCCATTTTCAAATAATTTTACAATTCGTACTTCGGCTTCAATAAAACGTTTATATCCTTGTAAAAGCTAAGCAAACGGCTTTTAATAGTAGCTACACCACATGTGTGTGTACCTTCATTAATTTCAGATGGTATTCAAAAGAAGACTTCGATATTTATTGACCTCTGAATACCATGTTATATGAAAAAATGCGTTGCTAAATTTTACTGGCTTGTAGTAAAGGTTGAATTTTGACAAAAAAAAAAAACAAAGTGCAAACTTTATCCTACTGTAAGAAATTGAGATAAGATGGAACATAGTTTGGGAGAGCAGTTTATTGAAATGCGAGCGTGGCTGACTTTGTAAATTCTGTTTCACATCCATGTTCACGATAACGTCTATTACCATTTTTATTACTACGAAAGAACCGAATTAACAAGAAACCGATTTGATTTAACACATATTCGTTCAAGCGTTTGTACCAGTGTCTTTATAGCGCACTCGCTGAAACCATATTCAAAAGTAAATAAAATTTGCGTTTTTTTTTTGTTCGATATTTTTTTAATAATTAATTTGCGTGGTTGACCTCCGCCTCTACGAACAATAACTTAAAATTATTTGAACATTAATTAAAATGAAAACGAGCTGTAGAAAGAAAACCAGCCGATTTTTACTTCGCAATGAACGATGCGTTTATATGTAAATACGTGTTTTCTAAAGGTGTTCTTGCACGATATGTATTTGCTCTTGGCTTTTTCAATACATATGTAATTGCGCATGTCTGTCAAATTCACAGTTTTTATTTAACTATTTAAAAATACGTTCTTTGAAAACGAAATAAACTAAACTCAGATGATTCTATCTGTGTCAGATGGAAATAGAAATATTTCTATTTCGTACGTGCATCTGTTTTGTACATAAACAAATCTTAGTTGCCTTTACCCGATATATTGACTTTTCCATATGTAAAAAGTGGCATGTACACATGCAAATACATATCGTGTAAGAACACCTTAACCGATGAGAGAAATAAAAAACCTATTTGAAAACAAATGGGAGTCAATACACTTTTGAACTTCACTGTGAACTGGGTCAAGCGCTATACAGTCAATCAATAAAGTTTAGGTACAGCGATATTTTTGCAAAACGGGAAACTGTTTTTTAATTATTTTACTTTTCGCACACATAACCCCAAAAATCAGAGCTCCAAACCTTGTGCAAAATTAAAGAAAATTCTGCAAATTTTCATTAAAATTTTGTACTTTTTAAATACACACTTCTCCAAATTTTCATTAAAATTTTGTACTTTTTAATTACACACTTTTGAAAAAAGCTGAGTATGCAGTTCTTTAGCCAATTTTAATCAATTTTAGTAGAATAAAGTGCAAGTCTGAGGTAGCTAGGACTTACCAAGGTATATAAAAAAAATTTCCCCTTAAAATTGGTCTTAAATGGCTTAAAAATGCAATGTGTTTTTCTACTAACTTTCAAGAAAAAATCGTATTTAATAACCTCTATCTGCACTTTTTACAAAAATGAGATTCTGATATAAAAATCCACCTAAGTCTTAACTGTCATCGGTGATATTAATGCTGGCCTTGTATAGCGCTTGACAGAAGAATTTACTATTTAATTGCAAAGTCAGAATTAAAATCTGTGATGACAGGTAAGTCCCAAATGGGTTCTAACATCACAAAGTAGTTCTTGTAAAAGTTGCATGTAGAGAGTATTGAATATAAGCCCTCGATATGTAGTATGTACGACCTTTTCCTCAATTCTGTCAAAATCCGACTTTAGCGATTATTCTTTCAGCACAGTTGTGTATTTGTACGTAAAAGTAAGTATGGTTTGAGACATGCAAATGAAGATATCGTCCAAATTTTTTAATAATGGTAAGTATAAAAATGTAAGCAAACTAAAGTCATAAATAATACCAACATTCATTACTACATTATAGTTACAATACAATGAGCTAAAATCAACCTGCTTCATGAGTGGCCAATGAATCCTTTGATCCACTTACATCAGCTGCTTAATGAGGGCATGAAAAATAATCAGAGTATTAAATTTGCACTTCTTTAAAATAAATAAAATAGATTACATGTTATTTCTTCCAAACTAGACTCGGAAGCCGATACGAATTGACTCTTATATGTGCACGTTATCAGTTGATGATCAGGTGGAGCAGGCTCTGGAGGAGTTGTTGGAGGTGGGAAAATCTGAAACCCTTAATAGCAATTTAATAGTTTACTAAATTTTCTGCATTACTTTTTAATGTGATAAGATAAAAAGTTTACATTAATATATATAAACAAGATTTAAACAGAAAAAAACAAATGAATGAAATTTAATCAACTTAACCTTAACTTAGTAAAAAAATAGCCACAAATCACATAACAAGTAATCACAATTCTCTCGTTGTATCTGAGAAAGCCATCAAATCTAAACTCCTAATCCGCCTAATCTGCATTTAGTAAAGAAACCCCGTTTCTCGGTGGTATTTTAACGTTTTGGCTCATAATTTCAACATTTCTGAACCAATTTTCAGTAATATAACATAAATGTGCAATAGGGTGGTCCAATTTTTATTTTTATTTTCGGCACTTCCAGAACTCAAGAATATCGAAAGTAAGTAAAATCGCATTGTGCCACCTGAGCTTTGAAGTTTACCCATCTACATATTTTACTATTTGAAGAAAATTCATGTTTCGTAGAATCCCTATAAAAGCGTTAAGCTGCCTTTACATGAGGCGATTTTTGACAGGCGATAATCGCCTGCAAAAGTTGACTTGCTGTCTACTTTGAGGCAAACGATTTTTGAATCGCCATTTACACGAGCGATTTTTCCAGAGCAATGTTGAATCCCTTGGAAAATCGCTTCATGTAAAGGCAGCTTTAAACAAATATTTTTTATAGAAAAACACAAACGGCAATAACGCAAATTTGTGTTATTTCCCAATTGAATGCGAAATAATACAAATTTGCTTTATTTCATTTCTCGTTGAGCAATAAGACCGACGGTTAATCTTCACAATTGAGTCATAAAGCAAAATAGTGCACATATGTATGTAGGTAGTCACCCAGTTACATTTGACAAAAAGTAGTACATGAACAAGTTAAATGGACGGATTTGTTAGTATACAATTTTGAAAGTGCCCAGCGTCGCGCGGTCCGCGTTCGGCATTGTCTACTGTCGTGCTGAAATAAGTAAACGACGAAAATCGTCGAAAACTACGCAGTCCTGCCAACTGCTTCCGTTTTAATACACTAGTCGACTGGAAATTTTAGGCAATGACGTGAAATTTTCGATACGATTCGACTCTCGAAAAACGACTTACATTCGACACGGCTCTTGCAATGAGGGTGATTATAACCGTTTAGAAAAAAGAATAATAATAAAATTACACTAGTTCATTTCTGAAACTGCTTTTTAATGTCCAAGTAATGGCAATTATTGCGTATGGTGTTATTGCATGCACCCCACCCATGGTGGAATTATATATACCAGGTGAAGTAATATTAGAGTGAGAAGAAATATTTTGACACTGCCTTATTTGAAAACATGCCTATAAAATGTGACTATAAGACAGCCGTTTTATTACTTCACCTGTTTATTGCGCCATTCATGAGAGTAGGTAAAATTTTACATATTTTTACATCACTACTTCGTACCACATGTTCGCTTCGTCTTCGTAAACGAAATCCACATTTCGGATATGGTGAAACCAGTGATGATAATGCAGAAATTTTAACTGAAGATAAAACTCAAAACAATATTCTCTGTGTTATATGCTGCGAACAGGAACGGCAACTTTTATTTGTTCCATGCCATGGCGGAATTGAAGTAATTAGAGCGAGAAAAATTGCCTTTCAAATTTGACTATAAGGCAGCCGAATGACAGAAAATAAAGCGAAAAAGCTGTTTTATTACTTCACCTGTTTATTTCACCATGGTTCCATGCAAACATTTTAAGGTTTTCCAGCAATGTTTTCAACATATTAAAAAGCATGCAGATAAAATTCATACAAAAGCGCTATGTCCAATTTGTTGGGCAGTTATTAAAGACAGACTCTTTTCCTATATTTTGTTAGACTTTTCATAAGTAAAGATATTTTGTGAATATTACTTTCTTCATATGAATTATATCACATTTTTTGTTTAATTGTATATTTGGAATAAACATAGTTCTTTTTCCTTCTGTCAGTAAACTATTTTTGTCACAAATAGCATAAATAAGCAATGGGAAATAAGGCAAAATTTGTTTTATTTCCAACTAAAATTCTCCATAAACCGTACATACATCACTTTTCGATAGCCCTGATAGTTTCTGAGAAATTAATTAATCATTCCAGATTTTTTTTTTTTTTTTTTTTAATGAAAAGATGGAAAAAATTCAAACTTTAACAGGAAAAATTAAAAAAAATAAGAGTTTCTGTGTAAATGTTTTGCACTTGTTCCTTTAGAAAAATTAAGCTACTAACAAAGAAAATCGATGAATAAATAAGAAAGTAATGATTGGTCAAATGAAAATGCACAAGGGTTTTTTGTATGAAATATGAGCAGAAACGAGTGTTACTCATACGCCACGTACACCTGAGTAGGTAGAGTGTTCGCATTGAAAGCAAGAGGTGTCAGAACTCATTAGTTAATTTTTTAGAAACTATCAGGGCTAGCGAAAAATGATATATATATATTAGACTGCATCACCAAAAAAAGTTGCGGTTTTTCCGCCGGGATTAAAAAATTTATTATATTTTAAGACGTCCACCAAAATATTTCGGAAAAATATTAAGATTTAAGCGAGCTGGACCGATTTGAAAATACCTCCAAAAACGGAGTTTTTTATGAATAAAAATAGTTTCTTAAAGAACTTTTTGAAAAAAGTCCCCTCAGATCACAAAGCAAATTGGGCTTAAAAATTCTGCATAAAAATATTTAAAAATCTTTTCAACGGAATCGTAATAATGCGATTTTTGATGGTGTTTTTTTACTTTTTTCAAAAAGATTGATTTACGAAAATCTTAAATAACTGGGCCAAAACTATTCTGATTTAGACTTATGGGATCTCGGTAGAAAGGTATTTTCCCACTATTTTTATTTATGTGCAAAAAAAATTCATTCGTGTCCCAATATTTTTTTTTTTTTTTCAAATACCAACACATCTTAATTCAACTTTGAATGATATTCGTTCATCCTACCTTTCTCTTTCATCCTTTGAATGAGTTTATTAGCAAAGAAATAAAAAGGGCGAGAAAATACCTTTCCAATGATATCTCACAAATCTAAATCGGGAGAGTTTAGGCTCAGTTATTCAAGTTTTTCTTATACCAATCTTTGAAAAAAGTTAAAAACAGCATCAAAAATCTCATTATTACGATTCGTTCAAATTTTTTTTTTTTAATTTTTTAAAAATATTTTTACGCAAATTTTTTAAGCTTAAACCGTTTTGTCATTTGGGGGGATTTTTTCAAAAAAAAATCTTAAAGAAACTCTTCTTATTCTTAAAAAACTCCATCTCCATCATTCAAATCGGTCCAGCTCACTTAAATCTTAATATTTTTTCGAAATATTTTGGTGGACGTGTTAAAATGTAATAGATTTTATAACTCCAATGGAAAAACAGTACCGATTTTTTTTTTTTATGGGGAGTGCTGCAGTCTAATATATATACGGTTTATGGATAATTTTATTAGCTTTCCTTTTCCGTATCTCGTGTTACGATTATTCAATTGGTTCGTAAGATATACATAATTCAGTGAAACCACTCTTTTTTTACGCTGAATAACGGTAAATTGCATATATCTCGAAAAGTTATCCATAGAAATAAAAATTATCTCAATTTTCGGAATCACCGAGTAATTCTACATAGGAGTTGGATTGTGGCATCTATAGAACATTTTTGCTGTAAACCAGTGTAATTATTATACAAAGACGAAAAAAATTCTCTTAAAACAAGACAAAGTTTTTGATCCCAAATATTACGATAATAATTATTTTGGGTCTCTGATTGATCACAATTCGAATCAAACCTAAATGATAACAACACGCCCATTCGAACTGAAGAGGACCAAAGATCTGTTCTATATGCGTTGCCTCCGCTACGATAATAAAATTGTACTTGGTGCTACGACATACTTGTTATGCGATAGAAAATTCAACATTCACGATCATACTGCTTGGCACCAGTGTGCAAACTTAATTTTTTTTATATGCGGTGGAATTGAGAAACGATGCGGTAGATTCGAGTAACATGTGATAGATTTTAATTTATTGAACAAAGCAATATATGTACATATCTGTTCCCGTCAATTAAAGTAACCCAAGTCAAGATGGGCCATTTTCCCTTTAAAGCGATATTTTATTGGGTTCCAAAATAATATTTTAACCATTGACTAGCCATAGGTGTAATTCAAGATGCCATCTTAACAGAAACCTCATACAAATATAAATTTGTTTAAGGGAAACTTAATATTTTTTAATTCAAAGCCGAACCTTCTAAATTCACTTAAGCTACTTTAGTTGACGGGCACAGATATGTACATATGTACGTACGTAGAACTTATAATAATACTTATAAATAATAAGATTTCAAAAAGTTTTTGCTTTGACTAGCAAGTGTTTAAAATTATAACATGAACTTAAGAATTAGCCTTTTTACGAATTTATCCATTTAGAACGGCACCGCCAAACCCTACTCGGAACTAAAATCTATAACTAACAATGCTACCAGTGTTTTTTTACTTTACTCGATGTTGCTAAAAAGTTTAGTAGTTTGAACAAAAGTTACCAGACAAAAATAAACAAATTGTGCGGTATATTTCAGCCTTGTGCGGTAGATTTGGTAGATCGTCAAATTTAAAAAAATTTGCGGTAGAAGTGTAGACATTGCTTGGCACTTAAAAGCACACTAGGGCTATTCTCGCGGTCTTGCAAAGCCCTTGCTCGGTGCACGGTTTGCAAAGCTGTGTACGATCCCGTATGTCATAATCCGAAAAATGTGTTTTTACGTGACGAGTAGTAGGATATCGTATGTGACGATTCGAGCCCAGATTAGTGTAGGAGCTTAGGCTAGAAGACCGCCCCCACCCCCCTTCTCCTTCATTTCAATTTGTTTCCTTTTTAGTGGCTTAAGTTTTTGTTGCTTTCTCATGAAAATGTTGCCTAAATTTGTGGCAACATTATGTAAATGTTCCCCTGGGCGTTGTAAGAAGGTTGCATTTGGCTTATAAGAATAGAGTACAAAAATGCCAACTTGAAAACTCATAACTCCACTGACTTATTCGACATTTAATTTATTAATTTTAATAAAATTATAAAACTCGCTTGCATTATAACATAATATTTATTTATGAAGAAATAATTATTGTAAAATATCAATCAAAATCTGCTGGAGAACACTAACCCTCACGCATTAACGAGGGCGGAAAATGTCACTCGATACTCAGCCGTGGACGTGGATAAATAAGGTTAGTTGTCTTACATTGATCCCTTGTTTATATCATTACTTAAACACTTACTTGCTAAATTACGGTTAATTAAACTATTCCCAGTGGGAAAATGTAATGTATAGTTATCGAAAAAATAGTTCGTAAAACGACCCTTTTCACATTCGAAAATGGATTTTTTCCCCCACGGCAATGTCCTAAGAGAAGTGAGGCATTCAATTTTGCATT